TTGGGAAATATGAAATTTATTAATTAACTGTGCTATCAATTTGTTTACAATATTTATCTTTGATTAAAGTTAATTGCTGATTTTATAATCAAAATAATTGATTTTGATAGTGAGATTTATTATATTAGTCATATTTTTAAAATAGTCTAAGAACAAGACATTATATTAAAAGTGTCCACTACAAAATTAATTATATAGAATAACTTTCATTTGACATCCAAATGTGTATAATAATCATTCTAATAAATACAGTACTTTTAAGTATATTTAAAAATTCAAAATGTACAGATAGATCAATGAAATAATTATTAACAGATTGAATAAACTAATATATTATACTAACGAGTAAATAATTATGGTAATATTATGTTTAGGTTATTATTTCAAAAATTATATTTACTTAGTTTGAATAAATATTTTTAATTATACAAATTTGTTAATTGTTTTTTTTATTGCTATTCAATTATCAAATGAAAGTTCAAATATTGTAGTTGCATAAGTAAACTTTAAAATAATAATCTTGGTATAAATTAATTCAAAACAATTTATTAACAAAAGTAACGTTTAAATTACTTTATACATAATACACTGAATATTATTTTCAAAAATTAATTATTAGTGTAAGAAATGAATGAGGAAAGAATTTAATTTTAATTTCATTTTTGATTAATTTTTAAAATCTAATCCCAAAAGATATCTTTAAAATATAATAAATCTTAAAATAATTCAAAAAAAGAATTACAGAATCTCGACTAAATTTATTATTAGTTATAATTTTATAAATAAGTATAACTTTAGATTTTAAGCAATATTTGAACAGAACATATGAAATGAAATATTTTTATAGATTTTTATAACTTTTAAATAAATTTCTAAAACAAGAAAATATTTATCGAAATGAGTAATATTTACACAATTTTAACTTATCTTAACTCAATACATATAATAGTCTTAATATAATCTCGCATTTATACTTTATTTTTATTATATTTGCTATTTATAGTTAACATTATTTTCTAATATAATAATACCAAAAAGCTATAAAGCTATCATAGCCTTTTCTATTAACTGATTAAATGAGTGGTTGAGAATTTGTAAAAATATTTTATGAAATATAAATAACATATTAATGACTCACAAAATATATAAATTTCCTTAACTAAGAATTTCAATCGATTTGTTTAGTGTGGATCGTATGGGTCCACAAATTTTGCCAATTTACTTTATCACTACTCACAAGTTGTAACACCAAATTGATTGCATAACCTAATCACTTATATACAGTATTCATATATAAATAGTTTATTAAATATATGTTATTTTATATAACATAAATTAAATGATTAACTAAAATCTCTACCGTTAACTCTACACTCCTTAAACTAATTCACCACATTTGATGATTTTCCAAATCAAATATATCATATGATATCCAAAAATTTATACACTTTCAAAAATAAAGTTATGCAAATACAGGTACAGTACAGCTGGACATTAAACATATTTTGTTTCATACAAATCATGCGTTTGACTACTTATTCCGTTTTCTCACATTTTAGACAATCATGTTATGAATATTTGCTTCATTTTGATCCAAGAAATGTGTTTTGTGTCATACATTATAATAGACTAGACTTTTCATTTTTGATCGTCACCAAATTTGAAACAGTTGTTGAAATTATTAATAAATTGAATTTTAAAATAGTCCTTAAAACTATTTTTAGTATAAATTTTAAAAAATATACTATATTTTTACTTGATGATATGATAGAAAATTCTATAGCTAACTAATCCAAATTAATATTCTGAATAATTTTATATACAGAATAAACATTTATAGTAATATATTTAAAATCTATATATAAAATATGTAACATGAAGATATTAATTTAATTTAACATAAATAAAATTCATAACTGAAATACCAGCCCTATTAATAAACAATTTTTATTTATTGATCATTTTATCCTACTTAACACTTAACCGGACAACACTTACCTCAGAGAAATAAATACATAAACTTTTCTCCACTATAGAGCAGTTGACTGGGAGCTGCCGGTGCCGTTTGACGCAAACTTTTCAAAATAATTAGTGAATACTTTTTTTCCTGACAAAACACATTATTAACTGTTCAAACAATTTAATGATTTTGTAGAACAAAAATAGTTGAGAGTTTAGTTGCTTTACGGGTGCAAAGTATTGGGATAAACGTGTAAATCATATAACCATACTATAGTATAGTATAGCATATAATTGTAAAGTTTTGTAAAGTTTTGTAGCATGTAAAGTTGTGTGTTGTATAAGACAACAAAACGACTAGAGTTGGCAAATAATGGTAACTTTCTCTCTGATGACACGTTTATGGGTCGGTGCGATTGGAATAACGGTGCTTCATGGAAGGTATGTGTGATGTGAGGCTCTGTATGATATGATGAGCTGAATCGAGATCAGGCCGACGATTGTTTAGCCCATTGAGGGATTCAGGTTCACTCAGGTGTTCACTGAGCCAACAGCCCAACCAACACTCCAATACTCCAATACTCGGGTCACTTATTGGGTGCTCGAGGTTTTCATATAACCTCAAAACCTAACCAAATGCTAGCGAATAATTGAACACAAACTGCAAACATATCATGTGTTATACGAACCAATGTTTGCCGTTTCAAGTCGAATATCAGTTGGAGTAAACGGAATAAGAGGTTTGCGATATTGTAATAAGTTAAGTAACGTAAGTACCGTACGTAACTGGGAGTAAACTGATTTAGAAAGTTAATTCTGAGTGTTTGTATACTAAACAACTCTACTCACTGAGTGCGAGTTGTCTGACCGAAAGACCTAACATTCACTACAAATCACAACTCATTATATCGTATATCAAACATTTATTTGTCATTTCATTAGACCGTAAAAGTGAATCTCAAACTATTGTTTCTCATACAAATCAGTTCATACGCGATTGCACTTAACTTGTAATACAAGTGTTATTATATAATACTGTTTATTCAATTGAATAGTTATTTATAGAAATATATATTTGAAAACTGGATTTTCGTATGAAAACTCTGAGACCAGTAGTGCTGGAGGGATGAGAAGGTCGGTGACGAGGATCAGTCCAAACATTTTAACCCAATTTTCAGTCAAATCACATATTTTCACAACTAATTATATTTTTGACAATTTTTCTTTTACTCTTCCTCTGAATATATTGAATATATTGTGACAATAATCACGTATTCATTCATTTCTAACAACTTTTAAGACTTTTCTGTAAATCAAAAAGAATAACACTTTGGTAAAAAATAGATATTAAGTTTCCAACATGATTTTTACAATTGAATTTTACATAAATTTCTTTAAGAAAATTATTGAATTAACAGTCCTTTAACTATATTTTTATGTTATATTTAAAGCGATTTATTAAATGAAATGCTCAAAAAATGTTATGTACTCCAGATTTTTGAGCGCGAATTTGGCTCAATTCAAAGGGCGTTATAAATCGATAAAATGTTAGATTAATTCAAGTTTTGTGAAGCAGTGTAAGCGCCCGAAGACACCTGAGCTGAGCAGCACCTGATGCTGTGAACAAATCCCGTTTGACTGGCATTACATATAACTTTGTGTTTATATATATAACGATTAGTTGAAAGTTTATTCATGTTTTAAATATAGTTTGAATACAAACCAGAAATAAAATGTGTTTAAAAAGTTTTAAAATTAGAGAATCATCTCTTGATTAGAGATTTATTTCTGGACTCTAATGGGTCGATGACCACCAAAAGTGATCCGAATTACTCGAAACACTTACTAATTCTGGCACCAAATTAGTGCCCAAAGCGAACGCAAACACTTAATATAGACATTCAACCAGTGCTTACATTTAATTAACACATATTTGTTACATTAAAAGCTTTTTATTATATAACGAAATTTTAGTTTAACAACAATCGCAGTAAACAATTCTTCATTTAATGAACAAATATTTTCATTTCAATGTATGAATACACGCTTTATGTTAATGAGTGGCTTATGAATTTACATATAATTAAAATTTTATTTTATATAATAAATTTCAAACATTTTCAAAAAGATTATATTTTAATCATAAACACTGTCACAGCATATCGACCAATAATGAAGCCTTAGTTAGAGTTTAGATTGAAAAATAAAAACTTACTGTATTTATATTTATATAACAATAATTGTAAATTATTTTCTTATCGTTAATTAAATTAATTTCAATTATAATTTATTTATAAAATTAAAACTTTGAACAGAAATTAGGCCTAAAGTTAAAAATTTGATTGATTCAAGTGATTGATTATAACAAATATGATTCAAAGCATTATATCTTTATTTTCTGTCACATCTTTAACGTATTGAGTGAATCGCTTTAAAAACTTTGGATATTCTCTCTTATATAATGCACGCAAAACAGATGCCGGCGCCCAACCGCCCGGGTTTACTGTAATTATTCAACAAAAACAAACATTTGTTAATATTTGCCTCAATAATAAATTGTTAGAATTATATTTAGTAGTGTATAAGTTTAGAAAAACTAAAATAGATCTTTAAATGACATTTAAAAATGTTTCAAACAAATGATAACTCACTCGTTGAGCAATAGATTATTTTACACTTCAGGTTATCTCTCGTTAACTCTTTGCCTTCTTCTGGTATGGGATCGATATATGTCTCACAAACCAAACTGACAGTCATTGTCATACGAAGACATCGGCCCAACTGTTATCATTCAAACATAAGTTATACACAAATATCATCATAAAAATAAATAAATCATTCAAATACCGGTATGTCTGGCCTGTCAGTCGAGTTATTGCATACAATCCATACGTTGTCCGGACCGCTAGTATTTTGGTTGTGTTCGGCCTGTTGTGAGCGTCTGATATGAGACCAGAAGACAGTGTCTCTCTGAGCCGCGGGCCAAACCCTTTTGTGGATTTGATGGAAAATCAGTGAATTCGGGTTTATCTCTTCAATCACTTTCATCGACTCTAAAGTGTTTTCCCAATCGAACCGAACGTCTGGACTAAAGAAGTGATAACACATCTCGTGTCCGGATATGCCTTTAACGGTGTGCACAGCCTTTAAAGGGTCGCATACGAGTCCGTCGACCTCCAGTTCCCTCTTATAAAGTCTCATTTCTCCGTCCTCTGCAAACAGTTCCCACCCCTTTGGTCCTCCCTCTCCGATCTCAAGCCTCGAGTAATATAACTGATCGGTTGTCACCCTTTCAATCTCTGACCACAAGGGATGGCCGCAAAGGGGCGGTAGTGTAGGTGACGGAGCGTTTAACTCTCGCGTCACGAGTTTCAGTTGTCGTCTCTCTTCGTCCTGTTGTTCGTTGCGATCGAGCGCTGCGTCGACGGCATCGAAGAACTCGTCCTCTTTGATCATACTGTGCGGCCCCTCCTCATAGTCGGGCCCTCCGATCACAATCACGTTCTGTTGGGATGACTCGCAATGCGTCTGTTTTATGAGTTCCTCCAATCGCTTCCTCTTCTCCATCTCTTTCTCGAGCCTTCGCTTCCAATTGTCTTCTCTTTGGTGCATAAGTTCTATACAATGAGAAAGGGTTGCAATGATGCCAGCGGTGGTCGCTTTGAACGTTATGGCGTCCCTCTTCAGATCCATCGAAATGGGCGCCAACTCTGACATCAAGTCTTTGTTTAATCCATTCCGATGTTCTGTCAATACATCATATTATAACTCAATTTTATTAATTCAATTAACAAATTGTTAATTTCGTTACCTTTCACATCATTGTAATCCAAATCCATTTCAGTGTCTTCTGAATCGTTTTCCCCTAAAATAGTTGACAGAAATTCATAATTAATTTGTTTAATCAATATAATATACGGTAATTAGTTATTTTGCTTTAATTATAAACTAAATATACATTTCTCACAACTATTACTACTCTTAAATCGGAAACAATTGACAGCAAAAAACAGCGAATTTAATGAACAAAAACAATTCATCACTAAAACTGAATTCAAGATTTAAACATATTTTTACAAAAAAATTTAATAAATTAATACATTTAAAAACAAATCTAAAGCGTGTGTTTCAGACAGTGTTTGTTCAGTTGTGAACCAATTATTTGACAATTAATTAAGAATTGTTTTAAAAGCAAATAAACAACTGAAGAGCAGGTGTCTTACCATTGAGTTTATGGTTGATCCCAATCCCAACCCCTTGGGCGCAGACATCGAAATATGTTTGCAATGTTTCCACCTTTGAGTCAATTAATCAATTCATTAGTTTCGTGTCAAATGAAAAAAGTATTGTTTTGTGAGACCTGTTGACACAATATGTCTCTGAAAGTCTCGATTTCATTCAACTTCTCCTTCAACCCTCTGTTGCTCTTAATAGACGTCACACTAACGGATCCCAAAGAGACGGCCGACCCGTGACGCCGAAGAGCGCCATCCGTCACATCATTGCTGTATTGCTGTAACATTTCATCACTTAATGAGTCAATCAAATCCATAATCCAACGGACAAGCGATGGTGACTGTAATGGAGACAAACCCGATGTGTTTCGATGGCATCGACCCATTGGTTGCGTTCATCGATGGATTGTGCCCTCAGATACCACACACAGTCCGATACGCCGACATCAAAGCGACAGTCGTCGAACTCATGCAACTGATCCACACATCAATGGTTAGACAGGAGAGACAAGGGGTGGTGGAGTGAGCGGTCATACCTTGATCTGTGCCTTAATGATAGTGACGGCTCCTCTGCACCCGAAGGCCGTCTCGTCCGACGACTTATAGTACGTGAGTGTCCCGTCTTTGAGGACAATGAACCTCTGTTGCCACCCATGGATGTAATTGGTCCACTTGGACAGCACGCCTTCATTAGGTGGCAACGCGTCCGATCCGTCTCGTCCGACGACTTATAGTACGTGAGTGTCCCGTCTTTGAGGACAATGAACCTCTGTTGCCACCCATGGATGTAATTGGTCCACTTGGACAGCACGCCTTCATTAGGTGGCAACGCGTCCGACACCACGCCGTCCTTCATTTGTCCGCAGTCCTCATCGTCGGTAAGACTCATCCCTTCAGACATGACAGTCAGTCAGACACCACTGCAGACATTGGGTCAGACATCACACGCATCTCGAGGCGTATTCCCTGTGTTTGCCATTCGGTTACCACAGCAACCAATGCGTGAGTGCTGTGATTGCAGTGTTGCCAGAGTTGGCAGTATTGCCACAAACGGCGGCACTTTTGCCACATTAATTGGCAAACGTGAAGCGCATATAAACAATGTTGACGTCATTGACAAGTCATTCATTCATTCATTGATTACATGACTTCACACTTCAATTCAATTAGAAATACTTCAAAGTTTTGCACTCAATATTGAATTACATTTAATTTCAGTTATAATCAATTGCCTAAAGATATGAATAAAATATTATGTTCATATAATCATATAATGAACTATTTCTATTTTAACACCCTCTCTCTCTCTCTCTCTCGAGCCTTCGCTTCCAATTGTTATATACCGATAGAAGTGGTGGGTTTTGGTGTTTTATTGGCGCTGGAGCTCGGAGTTGTCGATCCAGAACTGGTCGGCGTTATTGGCTTAGACACAGGTGTGGGTGGTTTGTCACTCTGTACACCCTCTCTCTCTCTCTCTCTCTCTCTCTCTCTCTCCAGTTTTTAAATAAATATGATATAAAATTTAATGATTAATTAATTATCATAATAGTAGTTTTACTTAAAGTTGTTATAAAAAGTTGTTGAGTATGTAGTATTTCCATTTAGTTGAAGTTATGTCATATTAAAAATAGGCAGTAAACATAAATTAAAACTCATATTTGTTTGGAACAAGTTTTGTAAGTTTTAAAATAGCATGGTTACTCTAATCATGTTGTTTTTATACATAAAAATATTGTTTATCCAATCCAGTTACATGAATATATTATTAAAATTTTGAAATTATTAAGTTTTAGGAGTCAATTATGGATTTAAAAATCAATGTTAGAATTGATTGAGTGATATGAACGGAATCAATAGATAGACTTTAAACTAAAAATTATGTATACATTTCTATACATTTCTATACATTTCTATAAATTTATATATTCTAGTTAGACACTATGTAAGTTTAAAAAAACATGTGAATGGAAATGAAGCCAGTAGATAGTATTTGATGCCTTATAAATAAAACTATAAAATATAATAATTTGTAACTTTGAAATCATTTAAATCATAACAAAATTTTCAATACAATAATAATTGCGGATAAAATGAAAAGGAAATGAAATACTGTATTCAATAAATAAAATTTTTAAAAAGTATTTAAATAAAAACAAGCACTAACTAAGTTTTTTAATGTTTAGCAAACTTTTTACTAAAGAATGTAAATATTTAAAAATCATTTAAATACTGTAGTAAATTATAAAGCTAATGTAAACTCCCATCAGTTTAATGTCAGAAAACTTTAACTTTGATTGAATTCATTAATATCATTTAATCTATAGTATACAGTACCAATATTAAAATTTTAGTTTAAAAACTTCAACTGTAATAATCATTTAACAAAATATTTAATTTTAGAAATTCATAACTCATGACTGAATTGTTAGTTTATTACTAATTAAAAAGTTAATAAACTTTAAATAAATTATTTTTATTAATTTCATAAGAATTAAGTGAAGATATTTTAAAATCAACGAAATGACACATTTATTGATCAAAATATCATTAAAAAAACCTAATTTTCAAATCAATAATTAAATTAAACAAATTCGAGATTTAATTAAATATTAGACGACTTTATATTAATGATATTATTTGATGAGAAGGGGATCGACACCAAAGACAGGAAATCAAGGGTTGGATCAGTAAATCACTTCATAGAGCGAAGCCTTCTTATCTCCAGAACCGGTCACAATATACTTGTCATCCGATGAGATGTCGCAACTCAACACCGAAGACGACTCCTTTGACTACATAATCAAGGGTTGGATCAGTAAATCACTTCATAGAGCGAAGCCTTCTTATCTCCAGAACCGGTCACAATATACTTGTCATCCGATGAGATGTCGCAACTCAACACCGAAGACGACTCCTTTGACTGCAATTCACAGACAATCAGTTAAACACTGTTTCCATGTCTTCAGACAATTCATTCATGAATACCTGAAATATTGAGGCGCCGTAAGGGGTTCGCCACGCGTTCAGGAGATTGTCTTTCCCGGTGCTGACGAACCATTTGCCACAGTTTGCGAACTTCAACGACAAGACACAGCTCTCGTGTAAATGCAACTGATATTTGTCTGGCTTTGAACAGTGGAGTACTTCAACGTTACTGCTCTCCATACTATCCATACATACAAATCATTCAATCATTAGATCCTCGTTTCAATTTCATATCATTTATATCATACCCGACTGCCAGCCAATCGCCAGTCGGACAGTAACCCAACGAAAAGATCTGCGAAGAGAAGTCGTGTTGTTGTAGTTGTCGGCCCTAAACATCGGTATAAACATTAGTTTTTTGGTCACATTTATATCAAAATTATTTATTTACTTCTCGGAGATCCCACGAACGGACAGTATTATCGAGCCCTCCCGTCCACAACTTATTTCCATCATTACTGATATCAATACAGGAGGCGCCGTCAGTGTGTCCTTGAAATTGGCGGACAAGTGACTGGTTATGGAGATCCCAAACCGCAATATTTCCATCACTACAACAACTGAAGCAAACTTTCGAGTCCGGACTTATGGCGAGTGCATAACATGCCGGTGCCGATGAAGTCAATTCAGCCTTAATCCTGGGTATAGCAGCGCCCAAATCCCAGATACATATAGTACTCGCTTCGCCCCCAACGATGAGAGTCCGACCGTCGGGTAAGAGTTTACACGAACGGATGTAATTGTCTTTTTGCTATTCATATGATTAGAAAAATTTAGTTTTATTCAAAAAAATTACTGAATATTTAATTCATTTCATACCAAACAATCCAATTGAGAGACAGGGCTCTTATTCCCGGGTTGACTAATATCCCACACTTTGACACAACCCTTTCCTCCGGTGTACACATATTTCGTGGGATTACTGATAGTAACGGCACAAACGACTTCCCCGTGATTTAGAGTATTTATTTGTCTTGCATGACGAGGAATCCCTGATCCCACCAGAGCATCGGGTGGAAAGGGTACGGGCTGTACCTGACCCTCAGCGTTCACATGGAAAGAATAGGCCGGTTTGCCTCCTGGAATGGCGCCACCAAATCCTGGTCCTCTCATGGAGGGGTGAGGTTCTGGATACGGCCCTCCGACCTGATATCAAATTAATGGTTTATTAATTCGACCCATACTTAGACCAAAGTTGTAAAGACATACCAAACCCCTTGAATATGAGTTAAGGGCCGGAGAGATGTTATTATGAAGAGCTATGCTCTGTGAATAGGCCGCCGCAGCCGCAGCTGTACTTAGATCTGCTGGAAGGTGTCCTCCGGGCCCACCTGGTCCGCCGTGCAGGGGATATGGATAGGGAGGGCCTATAGCCATAATTGCATCATTAACCATATATACTAATTAAGACATTAAAAATAAATTGCATACCGAGTGGAGGTTTGGGTATATTCTTCATGCTCCCAGAGCTGGTAGGGGTAGTGGGCTTAGGAACGGGTGTCATCGACTTCTCGTTCTTGTTATCAAAGAAGACATATTTATTTGAAAAATTCATACAAAAAATGTCAAAACAAATACCTCTTTGTGTTTGGAAGAGGGAGTGCTTGAGTTGGAGGATATACTGGAGTGCGGAGAGTGAGAACTGTGCTCTTTCTTCACTTGCTTTTCGTTACCGTTTTCTCGCGGAGAAGAGTTGCCGTTAGGAGAGCCCACCGGGTCCTCATTGGCCACATCCACCACCAACTCCTGGTCACTCTTTTCTCCGTCGCTGTCCTATTGGTTCATCAGTTCATTGCAATTATTACGGATTAGTCTGTAAGTGATTATCTAAACAAACCTTCTCTTCCTTCGCATTCTTGCGTTTCTTCATCTCGTGCTCCAAATCTGGAGATCTGTTCCGAAACTTTTCCCTTTCATTCGGAGAAATAGAGTTTCGCTATAAATGATAAGAAAATTTAAAAAATTGAGTAAATTATAATCATTATATAAGAAGTCAATCGCAAATTAATTAACAATTGATTATTGGTTTGGAATTATAAGAAAATTAGAAAAACTTTCACTTTCTATGTGTGAAATAAACGGATGAATAGATTGTCGTTTTCCACAATTATTGTTCTGTCAGTCAATTGGTTTTTGAGAAAATATAAGACAATTACAAACAGAGTTCACTCATTTGTGGAGGAATTCAATTTGGTGTCATTGAAGCGTAAAAATGCTTTTTTCAAAAGTGTTCACATCATTCAGAAAAAGAAATTATTAGTTATGCTTTGCGTTCAATGTTTTCTACATTCACTTTACTAATAACATAGAAATAAAACTTTTTTGTCTCATTTAATGAGAGTTGTTGTCGTATAATAATGTTTTGAAAATTCAAGAATTCAATCATAAGATATGTTTAAATAGTCTTAAACATTGGAAATTAGTAATAAAAGTATGGGTTATTATTAAAATATTAAGCAAATAATTTACAATTCAAAGCAATTTTCATAATAAAAGCAATTATTCAGTAGTAAAGTGTTTATGAAGCGTTGAAAACTAAACCAAACTTTTGTTTTTATAGAGTTAACCGTAAATGTGTTTTAATGTCATTATACAGTAAACTGTACACAATTACAATACCGTACATTAAATAATTACAAAAGTGGTTTAATTAATTGAGTTTAAAGTGATTGTTAAATAGTTGTCAAACTCAAGTTTAATATCAAACTTGCATACTTAATAAAGTGAGTTTATTTTACTGTATTTATTGAGCTTTCATTTCAAGCACTCGTTAATAACTATAGACTACTATATAACTTAAGATTTAAATATACAATATTTCATAAGTTTCTATCGTATTAAGCGCTTTAATTAATGCAAAATCAATTAATACTCCACTAATTATATATTGTTATTCAAATGGGAATTAAAATGATAATGTAATGCATTGTGTGTTATTAACATGATATTAAAAATAAGTATAATTGATGTGCAAATGAAATAAAAGTTTAAAACATAAATACTATACAATCTATTGAATGAAATATAAGGCAAGTATTTGAAGAGTCTTTATTTGATTTGAAAAATAAACGAATTCAGTATTAAATACAATACACACATAATGTCATTCATATCTTTATTCTGTGTATTAAATGCTGTGAATAATAAAGTAGAGTATTTGGAGTGAAGTATGAAATGTATTGATAGCAAAGCATTGATAGAATTGATGGCAATTTTGTGAGCCATATAATGAAAGGCATTGCAATAATTTATTTTTGAATGCATGGGAGAGGGAGGGCCAGGAGTTGATCCCTTATGGGGACTAACTTTATTGAATTAGTTGGAAAGAGATTTGCAAAAATCGGACTTAAATGTATACATCAAAGCATATGAAGCATTCATTTTTGTCATCAATGAACAGCCAAATTACACTCTCGACTCCTCCCTACAGCCAATTTCCTGAGTGCAGCACTGGCTATACCCCCCGTAAAGCTACTTTCCTGCTAATCTCCCCCAACATCAAAGCCAGACAAGTCGTTGTGTTATGAATGTTCAGTCGCTCCGACCCCCACCCCACCATCCCCTCCCCCATACACAACACAATACAATGGCAAATGTATAAACACTTTAAAACCAGATGCGAACACTACCAGCACTGCCAACACTACTCCGTTACAGAAACTCAATCATGCGATCAGTGCTCACCAGTCGCTGCGAATCCAAACCCATTTGAAATGGTGTTCGCCTTCCCAGCCATCACTGCCTGACCGCCCGTAGGCTTTGCATCGCTCTCCACCTCATACTCTACTACACTACTCCATACTACTCCACATACTGTCACAAACACCACTACTATTGTATACACCACTACACAATGTGTACACAATATGTAGGAATATGTAGAGAATATGTACTGGCTCATATCCCGCATAGTCTGACCTATCATTAATTGTCAAAACTTCGCGTCACCACTGACTCCACTCTCACTCTTTCTCTCACCAATTGATAGCTCACTAAATGCCTTCAAATACACACCACTTCTCAAGACAAACAATAAACGCATTGTTTATGATATGAGGAACTCGTTTGTCGCTAATTATATATTTCATTAAAAGAGTTAAACACCAATTCATTAAAATGTATGAGAAGTGAATGCAAGGGTTGAATAAAAAGTTTACGAAATGTTATAATAAGTAATAAGAAAGATAAGAAATAATAAATAATTTAGATTTGGTTTTGCATTCAAATAGTTTGTGTTATTGTTGTGCATATGATTTGTTAGAAGTAGTGGTTAGACATGATTTTGACATTTACTACTCAAACCCACGTTTATAATAATATACACACAGAGAGTGTGGGGTCACGAGGAGTTTAGAGGGGAAGAGGGGTCGACATATCAGTTCATTACCCATCCATGCATTTCCTCTGAGGCTAAATCTGTAGCGTTTGGTTTGGGTATTGGCTCTAAAAACGCAAAATTCGTTTTACGCTATGCTATGGATGCGATGATAAGGATAAAAGGGCTCTTTATTATCACAGATTATTGTATTAAGAGGGGGACAGGTGCCCCTCACACTCCCCTCCAATGAGCACAGCCTATACAACACAATTGAATGGTCGGCAGAGAGCGGGCGCGTCAGCAGTGCATCCGTTCGTGTATTTGAACGCAACTAAACCACAATCAGAGGGCAGACATCGCATACTAAACAGCAATACATGGCATACATTGGGCATTGGGTGCCATATCTATGGCTAAACTGACGGCAATTATTCCCATTCATTCACATCGTTCTCGTGCTGTTCAGAGCTATTCACACAATATTCACAGTGTTTTGCATTCATTTACATTAGAGTCAGTAAACATTAAACCGGAGAACAATCCATTGTATGACAGCATTAGTGGCACAGCACCACCACTTCCAACACTACCAGCCCTACCATTCCCGGCCCGCACTTGCGCTCAACACTAATTAGCAAACAATCTATTTTTTGAATAAAAATAACACATTATATGCTTTAAACTTTTCTTATTTCGTTTTTACAAATTGTTTTGCTGTTTATCGATTGAACAGCAATTCATTAACAAACGAAACAAATTTAAGATTTTATTTTTGTAACGAATATTAATTTGAATACAATTTGCATTTGACTGCAAAACAGTGTTTAGAATTAAACAAACTTTGCATCGAAATGAATGAATGAACCAAAGTTTGTAAAAAATGTTGGCATAATATCCGTGATATAAAAGTGACATAATTTGACGAAAAAACTATTTTTCTGTCAAAGAGAGTAAAAATAAGAGTTTAGAAAATAACTAACTATTCGTCAATTCAGTGTTAATGTTGATGTGCAGGAGCTGAGGAAGTAGTGCTAGGGATGGTAGGAATGGTGTGTTTCTGGTGCGGTGCACATGAATGCCTCAGTCATGCGAGCGGAACACCATTTGCTGTAATACTTACACCGGACTCATAGAAGTGATAGAACTCGTAATGATTCACTCATTTTATGATATAAATTGTCTTAACAAAGAACACGCAACACAACTATTACTACATTTGATGCCTATTCTACCAATTCTACCAATTCTGCCCTATCCTATCCCATCAAACCTATCCAAGGTTTACGCCCGAGAGAGAGAGAGAGAGAGAGCTATGTTAATGTTATTCGTATGCAGTGAATGTTAAGCTTATTATTAGCGGGGAGAGAGATGGTATGGTATGGTGTGGTGGTATAGCATCTGCAGTGGTTTCCAGTATAATAATGATCGCTAGTGTGAGAGTGAGTGAGTGTAGTCTCGTTTGCTTGTAATTCACTTACAGCACAACATGTATGGGATGTGAAGGCTGTGTTAATTCATGCATTATTATTAAAACTAGAAAGTGTGTAAAAAGTGCACCACTTTTTCTGATTATATGTACACCATAGCGATTGCGGTGAAAATTTTGCAATATTTCACTGATAGGCACATATGCTAACAATTTAAATATTTAAATAACTATAGTTTGAGTTTATGTTATCATATCATACATGTATAAAGAGCAATGTATGCGAAATATTAACAAAAAATATTAAAATACATTAATTTGATGCAAATTTTTGAATAAATATTTCATTTCTCGTCATAATTGAAATATTAGTTTTTATAGAAAATCAGAGTTAAGTTAATCAAAATTCAGGCGTTTATTTAGTCATAGCCTCGAGGTATCTGCGAAACGAAGTGTTCGTGAAATGAAGTTTTAAAATAAAAAGACTCAGAGATTCAGTAATAAGAAAAAAGTGCGGCTATAATAGGAGAACCACCCAATCCTATGGGATTCATCACTTTTTATCATTTATACGTTTATAACGCATAATATTATATACCATTTATTTGAGGTAATGATAGCATAGCATAGCATACGCTGTTTCCAATGCAAGTCTGGCAAACGTATAGTTTATTAATGTCTAAGCAATATATCGTATATATTATCAACTTTTTTACTGCAATTAAGTCATTGCATCCGTTTCTATATGTATGGCAACTGAACCACAATCTGAAAGCATTGAACGCATACTAAGCAGCCGTTCGCGCAGTACATGACTGCAGAGTATATCGGATTAAATGCTAACTCAACTCAACTCCACTTCATAATTGCCGTTCATTCACGTCATTCACTCTCATTTGCAAACATATAATAATTGATCGATTATTTGTATAATAAGACAATATATTTACAATATATTCATCCGTTTATGTTCTCATTACACACTATGCTATTAGCAAACAAACAAACAAAGCGCTCGCAAATGACATCAATTTAGTTCTCATACCTCTCTTCTGTCGTCTGTTGTGTCCCATCAGAAGACATCAGAAGACATCGCAAATGAGCACAAAATCAAGCGAAACATTCAGTCAATATACAAGTCATTCATATTTGGCTCAATTCAACTGACCATTGAGTGAACGCTTCTCATTGTTTTCGCGATGGGATTCCCGGTCTTTCGAAAGGGCGGACGGGATTCCCGGCAAATGACTCGAGTTGTTGTTGTTGGCGGTGACCGACGCGGCGCCCGCCAGTGAACCCGCGTTCGACAGGGCCAGCAGTCCGGCCGCTGAACTTGAGGGCGGGATTCCCGCCGCCAGAGCCGCAGCAGCAGCCGCGGAGGGGGGCTGAAGACCTGCCAGTGCCGGGTGCGGCATCATTGGCATCGGGGGTCCGTGCGAGTGGGCTGACGAGAGCTGTTGGGCGTGAATTTGTTGCTGTCATACAAACCGATTATTAGTATTCAAGTGTTTGTAATGTAAAGAATATTTGAAATAATAAAACAATGATCATTACACTTACACCGATGATGGCGTTCAGCTCAGTCATAGTCACCTGTTTGGCCCTCTCGACGGCCGACGCGACCTGTTGCTGGTGCTGTCGGACACAACATAATCACTCATTAGTTTACACTTCATTACAGTATAAATAGAATAAATTTATAGATTTATTCAATAAATATACGCTAAAATAAAAATTAAAATTTATAAAAATAGATTTTACCGGTACTTTAGAAATCGTTATACCGGTATAATGCTGTGTCTGATCAATAAATTTTTCTTATATTTACTCATTAATTATTCTTTAAAAATAGAATAAACAAGCAAAAAAATTGTTTTACTTTGAAACTAAATTGTTAAATTAGATTATAAAATATTTCAAATATATCTAATTAACAAGAGTCTAATAATCCCATTAAATAAGACTTACTTCTTGCGACAAAAACGGCAAAATTTGGGCAATAATAGCATTCAAACGCTTTGCTATTTCGGTCTGAAAAGAAAATAATATATTAAAACAAATACAACATAAAAAGAGAATAATCTTAATGATTCACATAATAAACAAGTATTTATAAAATAAAACTTTGTTTAGATTTGTGTAAAAGAATATTTATTTATAAAAGATATGAACAATTCATTTCTTACCTGTTTATGCATTTCGACATTCAATCCGTAAGACATTTCGTAATACTGTTTGTAATAAGAGATAAAAAACATGGATTTGTGTCATTAGTAATGATAAACTTCTCATTAGATTATGATTATAATAATCAACAGATCTGTGACTAACCATAACGTAATGTCTTTGCATTTCTGTCTTCTCTGTCGCGAGTTTTTCCAATTCTAGTTTCAAACTGTCATTCAATCAAACATTTCCATTAGTTTTGTAATATATTTTG